AAGTAATAGCACTCCACAATTTCATTGTATCTTCAATGATCTAGTAAGATTGTATCATCTCCTGTAGTCTTTCATTAATTCTGATAAAAGAGAAATACGCATTGACTGGAGAGATGCTTTGCCTGAGAAACTCTCAAGGTCAGACATTAAAGTGAAATAAAATAATTCCTTGACCTGGAGACTCACTGCATCCAAAAAAGCCTCCCTTCAGGAGGAAGGCACAGCTCAAGTTTGTTTTGTGCACTGAGTCTTTTCCCACCCCAGCAAACAGGCCCTCCAAGGGAGTTTTTAAACATTCTACAGCTACAACTTCCACAAATAAAGCTGTGCCATTTTACAGATGGAAATAACCACCAACCAACAGCTGCTGACACACTGTGCTGCCTAAGGCAGCTCACTGAGCCTCCCCGTGCTACTGTCTGCTCTTCCCTATAACATAAGAGGCCTCAAAGCACTGATGGGGAGATGAGAAGCACCAGGCAAAGTCAGTAGATGGGTTCAATTTCTCTCCCTTCACTGCTAAAGACAAAACTTTCAAACTCATCTCCCTTGCTCTGACCCCAGAAGCTCGCCCACCGCCTTTGTAAATTGCTACTCCTGCTAAAAGAATTAAAACTCCACGTCTACATCAATGACTTCTATGGACTGCAAACATCCATGACTGCATCGTTTTGAACACCACACACATAAAAAGATAATCAACTTTCCCTATTGGACATTCAGTAGCAAAACAACTTTGATAAGGCAAAGGAACAATCCCAGGAGAGCCATTACAGCTCCCACCTTGCCCATGTATTTTACCTGGAGCACCAGTTCTGGGCACTGCAGGATCTATAGTTGTAAATAAGATCACATTCAGAGCTCACAACACTCTGCTTCTGCTGTCTAAATGCTATTAACACTCAGCCTGAAGTTCTTGTGCTCAAGAAACGTTTAGATGTTGTACTACAGGACACACTCCAGTGGGGAAATATTGGTGGTAGGTGGAGTCTTAATTAAATCTATTAGACGTTACCTAATTATAGGGAATCCTTCTGCGCTCAGCTTACCTTAATATGAAGCAAGAGTCATTGTCAAGGATTTCTAGTAGATTTTCACCCATAAACACCATTAATCAGCAGTTTAGTGGAAAAACAAACCACTCATGGTTTGGATAACAGCGATGCTTTAAGGCTCAGCCACAGAGAGCCCCTGCACTGAGCACACAGCAGGAACAGCCGTATCTGGAAAAAACTCCAGTCCAAAAATCCTCCTGCCCCAATTCCACCGTCAGCTTCTATCAACCATCACAAAAACATGACCTAATAGAAACGCAGAGAACACGAACAGCCCTAAATGCTGTTGCATTTACCCCGTTAGCTCTCCAAAACTTCCAGATTTCCTTGCACCAACTGTCCCTCTCATCACCGCTATCTGACAGTTCTAAGATCAAACAAAATACTGCATCTTGCAACCAATTAAACATGGCCAAAGAGATGTTTTTTAACTACATATTGTTGACATTCTTCCCCTCAACAAACCACGGGTACATTCTATTTGCCTTTCCTGAATATTTTAAGAGTTTTTAGAAGGAAGAGTACAAATCTGATTTTCTCCACCCATCAGTCCTATACCGAGTGTAAACCCCATAGCTTCCATCACAAAAAACGTGAAAAAATGACTGACTTATTGAATACATTGCAAACACACTTTCCCATCATCTTAATTACTTGAAGTTTCAGGCCTGCACTAAGTTAGCAACTAATTAAAGATTCTTACATTAAGATCACCCTCCAAATCATCAGCATCAGACGAAAACGTTTGAAGATGGCACATGGCCTCACTTCTCTACTTTCTTTCTTTCTTGTCAGCTACTGTCTGGTTATGTCACGTCCCCACAGTCAGATATGAAAAGGTGCAAAGCAGCTCCCAAATCCCACAGCAATCTGAGATCCAAAAATAACTCCAAATATTCAAATTTCAGTCAGGTCTCTGCTGAGCTGCTAAGCCCAGCGCGGTGGGAAAGCAATCAGGAATGGAAGCTGATTGGAGCATCCCCTGCACAATGGCAATCAGCGAAGCACAATGGGAATTCACAAGAAGTGTTCTTGAGCAACTGCAGCTTTCAGATCCGACCTCCAGTGGCAGTTCAGGAACTCAAAGGATGGGAGTTTGGGACAGCTTGGTCTGGTGAGCACATGCAGCTCAGGAGAAGGAAAGCCACGTGCAGCACCAAAGAGAAGTTACGAATCTGATGGTTGAGAGCACAGCTCTGCTATGCAAGCCAAGGAGAGAAAAATCTGCATCTTTCCACGTTCTCAGGATCCAAGGAAGATTCTGCTACAACGGTCCCTGCTTGCGGTGCTGTCACTGATAAAAGCCCCACAGTGAGGGGAAAAAGCAGAATCATTGAATCAGGCTGAAGAAGCAAGGGCTCTGAAGCAAGCTCCCATTCTACCAACCACAGCAAAGTCATAGCAAGAGATGGCAAGATTCCTGCACGTCTAAATTAAGACACTGGAACACATTTAATATTCACACACTCATCACAAACACGCAGTGCAAATTCCCTAATATACAGTAAAGCAGTTTATTAGCAAATGTCTCATTGGATTAAGTCTGCTCTTATTCTATTAGGCAACTTTCACACCACATTAAATTGCATGACAACAGGGTGTTTGCCAGCACACGATGAAGGCAATCATTAACCCTTCCTTAGGAAGGCACAGGCAAAAGGCATAGGTGTGACACTGAGCCATCAGACTGGAGGGACTCTTAGCAATATAGGCCTGAAATGGAATATCAGGGTTTAGAGAAAATTGTAGCATCCTCCATCTCTCAGCACATCAGCACGTAAACCACTCATTTATACCCAGATCACTCACTTCTCCCAGTCAAGACCTACTGAAATAAATCAGCGATGCTCAATAATACAAGCTTGAGTGGGAGAAGCAGGGAGGCACGGTTCCTGTCTTTGTTAACTGTTTTGTTCATAGGCCTTGAACAACAGTGAACAAAGCAGTTACCTTCTCTATAGAAACAGCTTTTCTTTCCCTTTTGTATGCTTGCTTACAGCTTATTATGGCTCACCTCCTGGTAGCACCAGCTTTGATGAATGATGTGTGGTCATCCATCTTCAGGTGCTGCAATTCAGTGATGAATAGAGTACATTTGGAAAGCAGTCCAAGAAAAAAAAAAAATTGATAGCCAAAGGGGAAAAAAAAATTGAAGAAAGAAAAAAAAAAAGTCCAATGTTGGGCAACAGCTTCAGAGCTTAATGAAGTAAAATGGATGTATGAAAAAATATGAGCTGAACAAAGAGATCAGACAGGAAACAGCACAGAGGAGCAAGATCCAGGTTTCGCAATCACTGATCTAGAAACATACGGGAGGAAACACAGGTGTCCATCACGTATGAGCCCAAATCTCATTTACTTCTGTAAGCCCCCTGCAAGTGCTTTCAGTTCTCTAGAAAACTTCCACAATACCCTTTTCTGTTTATTTCACTCTCCTCCGTGGCACACCACCACCTGAATGCATCACCCACTCATTAGAGATGAAATTCTCACGTTGCTTTGTGCTCCTGCAAACTTGCATATGCTTCAAGTCGTGCAAAACATCCATCAGTGATGCAGAGAATCTGATTTGTCTCCTGCACCTTCCCCAAAAATGCAAGTCCACACACTAAAAGGCAGCAGCCAAGCTGCACCTCAGAGGTTTGTTGTACCAATGGACTGTATCACGACGCCCTTGCTGGTACTTCAGACCATAACATATTATGCTGAAGAGCAGCTCAGGGCAATAGCTGGGCACAGTTATTCTACTGCGTCCTACTGATTTACTCCACCACGACCCCACTTCTGAATTCATTCCATTCATGGATTTTGCTTCTTCAGCAGAACCTCCCACTGACACGCAGAGGGCAAAAGGAAACAGCTGGCACTGCTGATGAGCAAAGCCATTCACTGGGGTGCCTCCAAGGGCAAGAGGTGCACGTAAAGTTTCATCAGCAGAATTATACGCTAGCTGTGGGCATCCTTCATGTAATATTTGAAGCAAAGCACTACCTTACCTTCTGCTTAAGTGATGAGGTCCCATAATTAAGATGATTCTAAAGCATGGTTGCTAGATGAATATTTATTTGTATAACTGTACATAAAAAGCTGATTTTTCGCCAGTGTTTCTAATTCAGATTATACAGTTGTGTTGGAGAAGATACTGAGGTCAAAGGACCCATACTAAAATAGTTTGAAGAAAAACTTCCAGAACTGTCCACGTCCAGCATCCCAACCAGGATTCTAACACTAGATGCCACCATTGGTCCCTCTCTGAGCACATCACTATCAGATATCAGCAGCATTCAGACACCACATCACACAACAATAGTCATATTGTCCACAACATATAGGAGTCATTACTCCTCCGAATGGAGGAAACTGGCATACCATTTAACAGCTGCTATACAGTAATGCATTATTTTCCATAATCAGCCTCTCGTTAACTTTTTATTATTTCAGGATGGTACTCTGAAGTCTTAGAAATCAAACTCCATGGAGGGTCTTCATACTAAACTATCTTACTCGATAACTCCTTACCCCAAAAGATCCATCAGTTCAGTCAGAAGTGAAAGAATATCACCCCAGTCCAGCTGATGGGCAAGCCACAGATTCAGTAATTTGGCTAATTCCCCACACAGCATTTGGCAGAGATATAAACTGAAGCCCATTATCCATCCTCCCACTCAGAGAATCTCCTTTGGATTGAAGGAAGCTCCTCTGCACATTAGCTTTGCTTCCCTCTTGCTCCATTTTCTAATTAACTTCTCTGGATATCTGGAATGACTTTTGATAAATCATTACTGTCAGGCATTCAGAGAAACATATCAAACTTTATCAGAGATAAGAAAGCAAAAGAGCTGTAAGAACTGCTCATGAAGAACCCCAGTTTACTGCTGGATGCATTTAATCCTACTGGCAGAAATAGGAATAGGTTTATAAACATCTCTATAATAGACAGTATACCTTGTTCTCAGGTTCCCCTGCTGAGGCAGTCCATCGTAGATAGATAATACATCAAAATCTTCCTCTAACGCAAAGGACTGGAAAACAAGCTGTATCCTGTTCTTCTCCTCAGCAGTGATTGTCCACGTGCAGTTTGCATAATTTGGATATCCATACGGAAAGCCTGGACTCTGTATTGTCCCATTCGGGCCATGCAAAATGTGACTGCAGTTCTGGGCTGGTGAAAGAGAAGACAAAAGTACAAGTCAAACGGTGCAGAATACAAATCCAGCATCATCTCCATTGGAACAGGTCATGCAGGATTCTTCCCACTGAATTTGTTCTTCCCCAGGCATTCTTGGTCATGATGAACACACCAACATAGCACCTGTTTGTCCCCCCTGTGTGAGCTCAGGCCCCAGACACAATCTCCTGTATTTAAAGCTGTGCTCAATCCTTACATCCCCCACCTTGTCAAGGTTGCCATGACTCAGGTGCAGACCTTGCACTTGGATTTGCTGAACCTCACGAGTTCACTGGGCCCACTGCTCAGCCTGTCAGGTCTCTCTGATGGCATCCCGTGCCTGGGGAGCACTGACTGCACCACACAGCTTGGAGTCATCAGCAACCTGCTGAGGGTGCAGGCTAAACACGCAGCAAACATCTGCTGGGCCACATTCCTAAAGCACTGCCCTGACTCCACAGCTGAGGCAGAAACCCCATCCCACATCCACCAGCTAAATACTTCAAGCCTCCCTTCATCAATTTTTCCTTCCCCAAAGCACTACCTGTGAGCACTCCATCCCAAAGATAAAGATCGACTGCCATGATGCACAATTTCCGGATATATGAGAGTTTTTTTCTCTCTCTCAAGGGAAACTAGTACATAAATATGTGCTGGAGACAGCCCAAATGACAAATTCTCCTTAGTGCTTTCCTCTCTTCACTGCTACTTTACCGGAACGTCTTTTGAGGCACAAAGACAAATTCACTCATACAAACTTGGATATCTCTTTGCAGCTGTAATGCAATAATCTTCCACTCACCCACACCAAAATGAAACTGCAGACAGTTTGCAAGGCAACTGCTGTGAAATCCAAAGCAAAGTTTCACATTTATCCTACAGCCAGCAGACCTGCAGGTCAGCACTGCTGACGTGTGGGCCGGCTTTTCTCATGGATCCTGCCCTGCTTACCCTGCTTATGCATCACCTGAGTTGAAATGAATCAGAGTAGAAATTGCCTCTTTGATTTCTCACTGCTTTTTTCAAGGCAGCAATGGCATTTACACTTCTGAGGGCCAACCAGCTACAGGTAAAGAACTGCAGAGTAAGGCTCATTAAAGCCAATTACAATTAAATTGACCTACTTTGGTGCAAAAAATGCTTAGTGAAACTTGTCTCTGCAGGATGGAGCTCACACCTTCATGAATCTAAAATGGTTAATCATATTTACTACCCAGGGACTCTTTTTGTATCATGTTTATTACATCAGCCAGAGTTACGACAGCCCAGTAATCCGCAGGGGACTGAAGCTGAGCTAGGCACATAACTCATTAACAAGGCCAGACTCCAGTACTTTGCATTGCTGCAGCACCTGGCATCTGCCTCTCTCAGTGCAGTTTGTCAATATAAATGAATACAAGAGTGAATCCTTCCTCCCTCCTTCACCTTAGCTCCATTTCCTTGCAGGATGTGTAAGCCAGGCGCCAGCACAGGACTGGGAATGGCACAGAGGGGTAAAATTCAGCCGGGTTTGGTTTAGTGCCTCAGACTGCCAGAAGTCCATCACTTCCAGTCCTCCAGAATTCAATCACAGCCTCTTCTCTTCACCAGACTGGCACACAGTAGGCAATGCGACAGTTGAATCTCTAGCTACTGCACATGTTTTATCTTAATTGTAAGTAAATATCATCAGAACAATTTAAGGAAAGTGGGAAATTAAAGAGCCTGTATCTCTCCTTTTCCTGATGGTATTAAAGCCACCAGCACTGCATGAGAAAGGAAATTCAAGGTCAGAGATGCTGCGTTCCAAATGTTTCCAAGGTCACAGGAAAGACAACAAGATTTAAGATCAATACAAACTTATGCTATCCTTGCATAATTAGTGATTAAAGGAAAGAATAAGGCCTCAAACCTAGCTGAATAAAAACAAATACATAAGAGAAAATTAGGACGCAGCTCTGTGACATATCCAATCAATCTACTGAAATAATTGCGTGTTCATGATTCTGACCAAGATGTGCTATGCACATTGCTAACAAAGCTGCTCATTGCAAAGAAAAATTAGTTTTCCAAAAGCTGACAATCTGAAAAGCAATATATACTTCATCAACTGTGATAGTAGGGAGCTTCGTTTATATTGGACGCTGATGGAAAAGTCAGCAGGCACAGGAAAGAGATCCAGAAAGCCCAAGAGAATTTATGCATGCTCTGTAATTTGTTTTCAGGTATGAGTTAGCTCAGCTCAGGCTTGACTGACAAAACCTTATCTGAAGTACATGACAAGGAAACACACCATTTCTCCTCTGAATACTTGCAGAAACAATTCTCTTCATCCCTTTGGCCCAGAAGCACGAACAAACAGAGAGGTTTGAAAGGACAATGCCACTCAGCGCAATGCATTTTCGATTAATTCACCTTTGGCAGAGAACATTCCCTTCACTGCCTCCCACTCCCTGCAGGCTGACACACACCAGAACAACCCCACATCCCCCTCTCCCTCTGCCACTCTTCATCCAAAAGCCAGAACAAGGATGAGAAAGGTGAACGCTGGCAGCGAACGGCTCGGCACCAGCATGACGGTGTAAATATTTGTGTACATCTCCCCCTGCTAATGCTGTCACTCACAGACTCCCACTTTCTGAAGGTAAAACACCAACATGAAACTCATCGGCGGAGATGCGTCTGCGGGCAGCTGTCCTATTTTGTGATGGAGATGGGCAGTCTGAGAACAGAGCTAATTCCAACCCGTGCTCTGCCAACGCAGCCTGCCATTTTCAATTCTGGGAAGTGGTTTATTATGAGGGTGTATCTTTTTAATGACTGCATCAGTGTAATTTTATTGCGGCAGCGCTCGGTTTGTAGACAAGGACAAAAGGCTTGGCACTGCTCAGTGGACAGAGCCTTTCAACCAAAGAGATCTCAATTTGTGGAAGAGGAAAACATCACAACCCAAAAAGATGCATTAGTGGCAGGACTGGGGTTCTGCAGAAAAGCATCTCTTCCCAGCAGCACAACCACCACCCCCTCAACACAGAGCTTAAGGCAGCTTCACTCTGCTCAGCTTGCAGCACTCGGTTTCACTTCTAGGCCATATACACAAGATATACATATAGATCAGCTTCACTTCTAGTCCATACACACGAGGAAAAGGATGAAGCATTTACCTTGCATGATGTTCACAGAGGAACCATATTTCTGGCAGAAATAGGGGCTGCCTGCAGTTTTATAACACACAGTTGATCTACATGCCACAGAACTTAACATGACTGGGCACAAATATCAGCCAAAGACAGCTCTGACTGCCTCCTGCTTCTTGAGCAGGGAAAGCTGCAAACCCCTCTGCATGGAACCCATCAGCCTCGTGCCAAGAGAAGGGCAGAGTGCCCCGAACTCAAAAACTGGAACTTCTGGTAAGAATGGTAGTAATATAAAATGCAGTCTGATGGTAAATGTACCCATTCCCTGTACAAAAGACAAAAATCCAAGGCTGGTTAACATCTCCCACCTACTTCCAGTTCCTTAAGCTTACCAGGCTGGATCTGGTAGAAATCAAAGCAGCATTTTAACTGCTCAGATGTACACGATATTAAATCTCTAGAATGCGATTCTTAGGAGAGAAGAAAACAGAATTTACTTCTGAAGTATTTCCTAAAATGGAACTCCATGCCCTTTGTTTCTCAGCCGAAAAAAAGGAAAAACTAATTTAGCTAACATTGATGTATGGTCACTGCACAATTCAAGGAACAAATATCAAACCACATCTACTGAGTTGCTCTCAGTAGTAGTGGCTGCTCGTGATACATGGCTGCCTTCTTAATGCAGCAGTGCTCCGTATTGTCAGTTTCTGTAGTTATTGTTACTTAGGAGCAAGTGTTTCTGGTCTGTGTTGTTCTAGCCTACTCAAGGAGACAGACTACTATAAAATACATCTTCCACCATAAAACTGAAATCCATACCCTGCAGACGAGCACATTCCCTTCCAGGCTGAAATGCCAGGGCCAGATTCTGCTCATGCATCAATAACTCCCCAAATTTTTCTATGTACTGCTCAGAATCATTCACCTTCACCACATGAAGATCTTCAAATCAATTTTTTTTTTTTTTTTTTTTTTAATATATATTTTTAAGCGTTGCTTGAACTGCCATCTAAGGTTAGAAAAAGGCCCCTTTTCCTAAGGTTTATTGTTTTGAATGATTTATCTGACTGTGCCTTCTTACAAAGCAGGCTTCTGGATCTTTACAGACTATCAGAAATCAGAACTAGTTTACCCATAGGCTGCCTTTCATTCTCTTGTTCACACAATTCAAGTGAGCGCAGAGGGAAAGTACCTTCATACTTCATAAATTAAGCCTTGTTTCCCTAAGCATTCACCTTTTCATAGTTTTAACTTAACCTGCAGTCTAATATCAAAGCCCAGAGGGTAATAAATAATGCAGAAACATTCCATTAACTATAACTTTTAATCAAAAGCCACTGGATTCAAGAACATCATCAAGGGGATGATTAACATCTCTGATAGCCAGTGCCTTTTTACTGTGAACACACGAAATGAAGAACACAAGGGCAAAGAGCACACATTTTATCTGAATCTACCTCACACCCCTACTGCCAAGTCCCAGAAGGAATTACAGCACGGGCCTCCAATCCAAAGCAGGACACGAGTTCCATACTACAGCACATTTGCACAGTACTGTGGGGATACCAGAAACCCAACACATCATTCCCAAACCCAGCTAAGTCACCCCTCCAGTCCCAAGGCATTACTTCTTCCCATCCAGCAGTCTCTTAGTCCCATCACCATCTCTGTGTCCCACTTAGTGCTGGCTGAACAGCTTTTCCAACACATCTTGGAAGCGACGCACACATCCGAGATGCAGAAAATCCCACACAGAAGGATGGCAGTTCATTTTTCCCAAAATAACAACCTACATAAAATCATAATATAATAATTCATTATTACACAATAAAGGCACCTCCACTGAAAACGCCGAGGACAACACATCCAAAACGCTGG